TTACCCATCACAAATCCATCATAATAAAAATGGGATTGTTAATAATGGGATTAACAGTGGATTCCACAGATTGGCTCTTGTTCCACTGGATACATTCTACTACAAACTCCCTAAACACTGACTGAAGAATGAGATAACGCACTGATGCTTACCCATTACGAAGCCATCATCCGTAAATGCAGCACCCACTTTATTTTTCTTGTTCAACTTTTCCTTGCAGCTCAACATGTATTCAACAAAATTCAATGTCTGCGTCCCACAAACAAAAAACAAAAACGGAAAAAGAGGGTGAAATTACATGCAACGTTTTTATGGTAACAGTGACGAATGTATCAGCTTACCAAAGGTGGTACGATGACGTAGAAGTTCCTCAGGTGCATATTTTTGGCCTCGCGAAACTCGGGTGCGAAAACATCGACAAGAAGCTGAAAAATATAACAGACAGTTACTTGTGTGTAGCTTAAGTAAACTGGAAGAGTTATGTTCTTTTTGGCAGAGAATAAAATGGAAAAGACAAGCGGCACTAACCTTGAAGTATTCCGTGGCACCAGCAAAGTTTTTGGAAAGATTATCAATGGCAGAGTCGAGAGTCCTAAGGGTGAAAATTGGAATAAGATAGGGGTGTCAAAGAGACAAGTAATGATTATAAGGTATAGAACACACAGGTAGCCCACTCACTTGGCTGCTTGCAGCGATTCTGCTGACAAACCTTCTTCCTTCACCAGTTCTTCAAAAGACACTATGTCTTCAAGATCGGGTACGAACCTGAATAATGAATTTACGAATCAGTGACTGCAATCCAGATAGACTTTGATTAGATGAATAGATTTGATTCCCAATATGTGAGTGGACATGTTAGTGAGTGCATAATGAATGATATCCCGTCATACCTTATAGCATTGCTGCAGCAATGTAGACCACCAGATCGTATCATACGAATGTACCCCATGGCATTACCTGCATATCAACATAACATTAGCAACAACATGCGGACCAGTTGATCATGTAAAGTACAGGGAATCGTTGATCCCATCTGACACTTGCCTATCTGTCCAATCAGGATCCTAAACTGATCCAAGTATGTGTAGCCATCAGGAGACAAGCCCAGTTTACGTATTCCCTTGTTGAACTTCTCTGCTCTTTCAAACGGATATTTTTGATCAAGCTGCTCTTTGCTTTCTCTAAAGAAACGAATATCCTACGATAGAGCAAAAGGAAGTAATAACTATCACATAAAATAAAAACTGTGCAAACTGATACAACAATATAAATACATGCGCTAATGGAAACCAAGTAGTTTACCTTGACAAGCCTGGCCTTGATGTGTTCATCATACAAAAACTGTGAGAAAATAAAGAACTTCTTGCGTAGAAACTGATAGGTAAAGTTGACAGTCGTGTTCATGATTCCTGAGCCATGAGTACGGATCGAGTTGGCGATGTTACGAATATTGATGGTGTTAAGATGCTTGTTGTTGGATGCGCGCTCCACGAAGATCTAGAAATAACATGATCATCACCATTACGTATCATTACAATACACATTTCCAACACCATATCTGATCATCATTAATTCATTACCATCATTAGTCATTATCACTGTAATCATCATCGCTACTATCATCATCACTGTCATCATCACCATTATCATCATAATCAATCTGCAGCACCATTATCAATCATCGTCATCACCCACTAGAGCAGTTTTCGTATGACTGTGAAAAGCTCATGGCACGAACATATCGAAATAAAAAATGGGGGTCATCGAACTCGTTTTATTGTTAAACGCTGAGGAAACATGGTATTAATCGAGGGAAAAACGCACGCTTTAGATTAACTTGAGGGATCGAAGAAACGCTTCGAAAAAATCAAAATCATCAAAGAAATTCGGTTAAAAGGGGATTTTTCCCTAAATTTGGTGTCAATTATTCTCTTGCAATCAGAATTTTTTTAGATTTAAATATTGATTTTGATAGTATCTTTATTTTAAGACAAAGAAAAATGGGGGTTACCGAACTGGTTTCTGAGATATTTTGCCGTAAAGAAGTGAGAAATGGGTGTTCTTGATCATTTGCTTATCAAAACATTAAAATGACGTCATCACAATGAGCACACGCGCACTAAACTCATGTGTAAAAAGGCTGCGCGCGAAAACAATGCCCGCGAACGTCGTTAAAATTATAAAAAACATCACGATCACGGTCACGATCACGGTCACGATCACGGTCACGATCACGGTCACGATCACGGTCACGATCACGGTCACGGCACAGCACGGCACGCTTATGGCACTGAGCTTTTCAGGCATGCAAAAACTGCTCTATCATCAGACATTGTGGTCATCATCATCTTATACCATAAGTTTGTTTCTTACCTGATTGTTAAGGTTGTAGAGATATCGTGAGACAAACACATGGATGTTGCGCATAATCTCCAGAACATCAAGCCCCTGTTCAGTGCAATAAATATATAAATATATAAATATATAAATATATAAATATATAAATATATAAATATATAATAAATAACAGTTTGTAAGTTACTAAAACACCATTACTGATCATGTCATTATACCATTCTAAGCAAAGCAAGTAGCTGACCTGTTCAAGTGTTTGACTTGGTAAATGAGCTTCTGTCATCTCTAACCCATACTTCTGTTTTGCCATGTTCCTCATTTCAGCATAGGTTTTCCAGTCATGTAAAGCAACAGTGGTAAGGTTGTAGAACGTGCTGTCGAGGTAGTGAGTTACGTACGCTGTGTGTATATTGTACATTTCTAGTTTAGTAATTTATCTTCACTCATTACTTATTATCATGCTGCGAGTATACGACCTGGATTTTGAGAACTGTGAAGTATTGCAACCCTCTTCCCTTTAAATAACAGTATAACAGCCAAACAAACATGCATAACTTACCTTTGATATCAATAAACTTGTCAAAGAATCGTATGGGATGCAGCTCGAGAAAGTGAGACAAGTCCTTCAAACCAACCTAGAACAACAAATAATACATTAACAATATATATTACTTTAATATGCCTAGCAACTCCAGCGAGTGTACCTTGAATGGATTCCTGTCATCCAGCTGTAGATGCTGGTGAATGTGAAGGCGAAGGTCTGTCTCAATATCACGACATAACTGATGCAGAAAATTCTGAAAAAAAGAAATTTTTACTTGCTTTACTTGCACCTTGATTGCAGCTAAAAAACTACAATGGCAATTTTGATAGGTAGGCAAAGATCATTTTTATGGAGCTACACGTAAGGTCCGTAAGCGACCTCTTGCTTTCTTGGTGGAATCCAGCCACTTTGCTTTCTACACACTTCCTTCTACTCTGCAAAGCAATTCTTTGTAATGCGTGTTCAACCACCTCACCTCATTCAGAACTTCCTCAATTTCCTTTTCAAACGAGTCCAGCATGACTTGTGGGGATGACTCATGCCTGACTTGACTTAGGATGGGAACACAGTCACGTAAAGCATTCAGCATGTACTGATAAAATATACAACATAGCATTAGTCAAATAACAAGATACACAAACGGAAAGAAACGAGTGGATACTCACATGTAATCGATGTATATCTACAGCATTATCATACAAATCATTGAGGTATATCGGAAAAACGACCTAAAAGAACAGAAATTTAACAAACTGAGTAACGAAGATATACATCAATAAGAGTGTGGCACACGAGTAAACACGACATACTCGATGCCAGTGAAGAAAACTACAGTCACAAGCAGCTTTGATCTTGGCTCTTATTCCACTGATGATGTCGATCTTCTTGAGTGCATTGTTAAGGCTATCTGTCTCTTCATCTTTAAATGCTCTCTAGAAATGATTAAACAGTCATGTGTTAGTAAACATACACCATTATAACCATTTATTAAAAACCTGTTTTGTTGCATTACCTAGCCCTAATCTAAAAACTTCTATTAAAAAAACACTGCCGGAGAAGGCGTAGCTTAGTTGGTTAGTATGTGGCCATCAGAGCTAGAGGTTTAAAGGTCTAAAGTTAAAGGTTCAATCCTCAAAATTTCCATGTCTGTTTCTACTTTCTATGTTCTTTGTAGCTTCAGCTTTAAATACCGGTGATAAGGAGCACTGATAGTCTGAGGGGGACAGGGCACACCTTCTTGTGATTAATAAATGAATCTCTGGTTTGTTAGGGAATAGGGCAAACACCCCCCGTGTTATGGAAGTTAAACTTTACATATACCAAATAAATTGATATAGGACTCAATAAAAAATTAAGCAGCATTCTAATAAGCGATGTAGAAAAATAGCTTAACAGGGGACTCTTATAACATCGGGTTAGGAGTCCAATGGACCTTAAAATGACCCGGGTAAAATCCTGCTTACCATTAGTGTCCCAACATGAAGACCAAGATTGACAATCAACTGGCGTTCCTTTGTTGCTGGAGATAAAAAAACATGTCTCAATGTAAACTGATCACATAGCATATTGTTCTAACTTGTAATATTGTTTAGATGAGAATATGTGGACTGCGTAGCACTTATGGAATACATGAAGATATTGAAATATAGATAAGTAAGTTATAGTGCTTGGGAACGAGGTTATTCCGGGTGAAAGACCCTTGGAATTAAATTTGGAAAAATTTTTCTGAATTTAATTCCAAGGGTCTTAAGGGTCTTTCACCCGGAATAACCTCGTTCCCAAGCACTATAACTTATCTATATTTCTATATCTTCATGTAATATTGTTTGTCATTACCTGGGCCATTAAGTGCTGTTTGTACAAGTACCAGCGCAGCCAAAACATCCTGAAGAAGAGCATATGTTGCATCAATACTTTCATTTGTAGTTCATCATCATTTCTTATATATCGCTTACCACTTATTCATTACTATCAGTAATTCTATTAGTTTTACATTACTCAATCATTACCAATAGTTTAACTACTGTATGTAGTTAAACTAATCTTGACTTCTTGATCCCACCAATACTAGATTCCTATTTGAAGTCTTTTTCTAATTAATCGTCTGTGGGAGTTTGCAAGTTAATGATGTGAAAGAGGCCAAAAAGGACATTGATAGGTGTGGTATCAAAAAGGATATGTAGCATTGACTGCTAGCTCACCCTTGCATATAATGACAATGTACAAGAATAGTCTCTTTCTGTCCACAGCGTACAACACTTACCAGACGTTTATCTGTATACTTCTTGTCGGCAGAGACACGTTTCTTAAAGGAAAGAAACAACATTGTTATACAAACCATGAGTTCTTTCTACTTGCAACATGAACATAAATATTTCTATATAAGAACACTCCATGTTACCACAATGTCAATGACAATGACTGAAGTCCAAACAAGTTATCCTGCATAGGGCCCTTTTTGATATCAGTTTTTTACATTGTAATGATTAAATAAAGGTATAGACGTACTCTATTCAAGTTGAACAGAAGCAATGATGTCCTTTGTAAGCAATGCCAGACATTACCTTTGCAGATTCAATACAGGAAAGAGCTAAGAATGTCAGATGCTGAACTATGTGATTGGCATTTTGTGCAATCAACATGCTGCGACGATGAAAGGTACTTTCAATAGCCTAAAACAGAAACATATCCAAATATTGGTGCACAAGATTATTTATGTTTACCTATTAATGTGAGCAAGAGTTGGACAGTCTAGTAGATCTACAGTACCTTCAGTAGCTCAATGAGCCTGCAGAGTGCTAGTACAGCAGTCTTGGTCATTGGTTTTGACATTACAAGGTGCATATTCATTACAGTACGGATAAGATGGCTGAGGTTATAAGCATACAGAATTCCCTGAAATATACACATCAAAGATTAAACATAAGAACTAACAAATTTTCCCATTTTAGCTGACAAATTCTATATTAATATTTATTTCACTTCAAATATTTCCTTATGGGGGCAGCAAAGAAATTTCTTAAACATTGTGTAATTATTTCTTGTGCAATCTCACAACTGAGATGTAAATATTCATTAGTCAACATAATGCAGATAAAATGTTTTTTTTTTATATTTCCAGTCTAAATTGTGGGTAATTTACTAGAAAGATAATCTTACTTACTTGTACAAAGAGTATACATCTTGTGTGAAGGTTTTCCACTAATGAATCACCCTTGGCTAATGAAGATTCCATGTGGACCATCCATGAACTGACTTTCATGTAGTATGACTGAGCATCCCTTGAAACAAATTATTATATTTTATTATACGATACACTCAATTTCCTGTGTATTATGACTATATTTTGAGTGCAATAACAGAGTGATAACTGGTTTTGGAACAGTTTTTTTTGCTCTTGTCATACACAACTAGCAATGCAATAATCTTTATGTACTAATAATTAGTATTAGCTCTACTGTTTTTTATCATTAGTTGGTAGGATGTACTTTGAACTTAGAAATCAATAGATTTTCAGTAGTTTCCCCTTTTATCCTACTTCCTCCTCACTCCCAGTTCAATGTTGTGCACTTATCTATTTGAGCTATGTCATGGCTGGTCACGTAATTGATTGCTTGCAGGCAACATCATATAGGAGGAGGAGGAACAAATCATAATAAATGAGCAATCATGCCAACAATTATGGCAACTTGTTACAACTTGTATCAAGTCTTGTGTGCTCCTTTATTCACAGCTCAATTTTATTATCATCACTATCATCATCAT